TTTGTTTTTTTTTTTTTGAGAGGAACATACAGATGTGTCAACCTTTGGCAATTCAGGAGAGGATTGATGTGGGGATTTGACAGCTGGCTTTGTGAGCACCCTCTCTAATGGAACCAAGATCATATCCTTACCAAAATCCAAGAAAGGAAAGCAGCTCCCACAAAGCCAGGGGCTAAGAATATTTCCGGACGTCATCTAACCATAGAGTTGAGTTTCCTGCTTCCTCTTAAGTTACAGTGACGAGAGGCTCTTGCATTTCTATCAGACAAAGGCAGAGATGGAGGCTCTGTGAAAGTATTAATAGCATGTGGTTTAACTGCAGTGAAAACTGTGGTATTGAGAGAAAATCCCAAAATACACTTATCTTAGGAAGTGGCACTCAATGCTTCAGTCTTAGGAATCGTGATCATTTAACCTCTACTCTCAGGTTCAACGTGCTTTTCATTATTCCTCCTTTAGTTTTTTAATGTAGAAATTTTTTTGATATTTTACAGAACACGACTTTAGAAACAATATAGCCAAAAGGGAAGTTAAAAAAAAGATTCCATTTGAGTCTTTTGTTTAGCATATCTCTATTTTATCTCATCTCCCAATACCATGTAATTATTTTTCATACCTGATTCCAGATACTTAAAAAGTCTATAACACATTTTGTACTGGAATGTTCTATCACAAACAAACACAAAGATGCTAAAGGAAGCCAGACCCTGAGCCCTTTGAAATGCTTACTTCATTAGTAAAAACCAAATACACATAAGCAAGGTTCGTGCCTTCTAGAGTTAAGTACAGGCAAGTATTACCCAACACAGGTTTCAGTGGATAATGGGTCACATCCATGATGGCAGTCCCTTATACATCTCATGTTTACTGCCTCATGTCATTGCCTTGTTTGCTCATGGCCCAGATTAATCCCATTTTCATCATGGGATTTGTTTATCATGGTCATAGGCTTTCCTACACATGTCCCATATAGCCTAGAGGGTAGGAGGCTAAACCATCCAGGTGTGTGGAGGCCCACTCCATGATCCTCACACAGCTAAATAGTCTGACACAGCACCATCACTGTGGCTCTTTAAGCAATCCTGTTTTTAAAAGGTTGGTGTTGTAGATATGCCTAAAAACTCCTTCAAAATCTCTTGTCCCAGGTCTGCCACCAACAGCTGTTTGGTGAGCTGAATTAGAGCTGCAGTGTCCTGCAGAGCTTCCTACAATGCTGAGGATGCTAAACTCAGCTGTGTCCAGTATCCCAGCACCTTGTCCTGCATGGCTCCTAAGCACTGAAAATGTGTCTCATGCATTTGACTCTCACATATTATTTTAAGACTTGTTAGTGAAAATTAGGTACCTTTTCAACTAAATCTTATAAAACTACCACTAATGAAAAGTTGGCTTTTGATGGACATCTGCTACAAATGTAAGTACATACTAGATTTCAAAAGCTGTATAAACATGATAATATGCTGGTTAATTTTTTAATGATTGCACATTGAAGTATTTCTAATGGAACAATTACCTTTTAAAAAAATAAACTTTTTATCACTGGGCGGTAGTGGTGCATGCCTTTAGTCCCAGCACTCAGGAGGCAGGGGCACTCTGTGAGTTTGAGGCCAGCCTGGTCTACAGAGCTATTTCCAGGACAGCCAGGGGTACACAGAGAAACCCTGTCTTGGAAAAAACAAAAACAAAAAGAAACAAAAGCTTTTTATCAAGTATCCCCTAGAAAATTCAAATTTTTACTTGTGACTCACATATCTCACGGAACACCATTAAACTAGACATCTCCTAAGTTCTTTTGCAAATCTGAGTCTAACTTTGTAATTATTTAACCACTTTATTATGTAATTACAAAGCCAATAACTAATAAATTTGTGGGGAGAAACTAGATAAATAATTGAGATTTTCAAGCTTCGCTTCCAAAGAATGGAAAAGAAAAATTGTGAGGAGCTAATGGGTAGTGGTTTTATTGTTGGTATTTTATTTTACTTTTTAAAAATACTTCATTTAACTTAATTTTATGTGCATTGGTGTAAGGATGCCAGATACCCTGGAACCAGAGTTACAGACAGGTGTGAGCTGCCATGTGGGTGCTGGGACTAGAACCCAGGTCCTCTGAAAGAGCCATCTCTTCATCTCTCCATCCCCTGGCGTGGTTTTTGAGAAGAATCTCACATATTCCAGGCTGGCTTCCAACTTGCTAGGTAGTCAAGGATGACCTTGAACTTCTGTTCTTGTCTATGCATAACCTAAGTGCT